AGGAGCCTCCAGTCACATGGCTTTTCAGAACAATTGGAGAATCAATCACAGGGAGGCTCTCTGCAGGCCAGGCACCCCAGCTGCACACTCACAGTGACGTAATCCAGGAGTGCACAAGCCCCAGTCCTACAGAGCTGTAGAGCCTCTGCTCTGTCCCGCTCCCAAGTCCTAAATGACTTAATTGATAAGGAAAAGCTCTACAGGGACCTAGAAAACCCCAATATGTATCCATCTGTCCCAGACCAAACCATATCTCCCACTGATACAAACAGCCAGTCCCAAACAGGCATGTTCATTTCCTCCACGTACAAGAGCACCCTCTTTTGTGACATCACAATCTGGGGGGAAAAAGAGAAGTCTACATTCCACAGGTTCATCGTGGGTGCCAGCAACCAGCTTCCCCACCATGTGGTTGAAATGGACTCCCTTAGATTAGTCAGGATGTGGCTGGATGAACTCTTCATATCAGTGACCTCCTACAAACAGGATAAGTAAGAACCCCTGAACTCCCTCCTCTGGGATTTAACCTATTTCCCATGTTGAGTTGTCCTCACAATGGTTATCACCTACTGCCTTTTCCAGTCACACTGCTGAATAATATTAGGTCCATTAATGCATCTTTGTAGAACATAAATGAAGAACTAATATGGACTCAATAACACTGCAGGTTTAAGAGTGGGATAACTGCACTGGATTACTCAAACCATGGCTTATTCTTGGTCATCACCCTTTTAAGGGCAATTACTGACTTAGTTCACAGAGGAGGCAGTTTCAGGCTAAGATCCACCAATTGCTAGGGGGTGGGGGGATATTGATTTCTTTTAAAGACTCCCCAAACCTGAAAGCAAAAGCATCCCAAAACAGGAAGAGTACATCTGAGAAAGTCACAAGCCAATTCAAAACAGGTATCGCGGACTCTCCAACTGATATTTGATGGAGCATTAAAGTAAAAAAAAGTATTAGTTTGGCAAAAACTGCAGTATACAAACACGCAGCCAAAAATGATCACAGCTGTTATCCACAGGTTACAGAAAGACAAAAGCTCAGATTTAAAAATTCACAACACTGTTCCACTTCCTCTCACAGCAGCATAGGAGTTTAGCAGGACTGTCAATACACAATCAAAGGCCAGGCACTAAGAATCTCATCCCAACATGCAAGCAACAGCATTTACAGCTCTGCCCTGTTCACAATTCACTTCCTCAGGGAAAAACAGAAGCTTAAGACTTCTTTCTCCTCAAAGAGGCCTAAAAAACAGCCAAGTTTTTATTTTCTGGAAAGACATCCAATATCCAACCTACAGTTACTGCTTTATTGATCTGGGGAAAAACAACACCAATATCTGCAATAAGAAATAACTTGGGGGGTTGATAAACTTCTACACAGCTTCACATCTTGCCACAAGATATTAAGAGCACAGCAGTTTTAAGCAATATTTGAGATTCACTTTAAAAAAACCACAAACACTCTGCGTGCTGGAGCTTCTCATTTAGTGCTGTGAAGTCATGAGAACAGAACCCATCCAACCTGCGTGACTGAGTACACAGAAAACAAAACTAACATTAAACGTTAAAGGACCTTGGCAATTGGAATCTTTTAGAGTTGCGCTGGTGTCTTGAAACAACCACTTCCACCCGATCGGTTAAGCTTTGCCCTTCCTAACATGAGCCGAAAAGAAACCAAAATCTTCTGCAAGTCGATGCTTTTGAACAACACGATGCCAGACACAAACAGATTGGAGCTTTGAAGCCATTTGCCGCACAGGAACTAACTCCCAAACCAGCTGCAAGTTAGGCAGCTGTGAAACTTGAAAGACATCTGAAGTGAAGCAGCTTTACCACAGCAGTAGCAATAAAAACACCCCACCACCACCACCAAGACAGTAAGGTCTGAAAACATCCCAGATGAGCAGAGCCTTTTTGGACCCTTAGTCGACATGACTAACACTACCGATCCTGGAAGTGCATCATCCATTATGTCATTATGTCAATTAATCATCCACTGGTGACAAAAACAGGTAGCAGGCTGGAGCAGAGGTTAGCACGGCTTCCCTGCTGCACTGGGGCCCTGGGCTGGAAACGTGGAGCACGCGTGTTCTCCCCGTGATCACGTGGGCTTCCTCTCGGACGGGCTTTTCAAGGTTTTCCTGCGATCTAAAGAAGGGGTTTCCCCATTTGTCTTTACCCGTTGGGCCATTTTTGAGAAGGCAGAACAGTCAGGGCCCTCGGCTCACTGCAGCCCCCATGCAAGTTCCTCTTTTCAAGGAGCACAGCATTTCCTTGTCGAAAACCCCAAACCAAAACAAAGAGAACGAAAACTAAAGAGCTTGCACGCTTGAAAATAATACTATAATGTTCTATACAATATATAATATTAATTATCCTTATATTTATATAGTGCTCTGCTGGACACTCCACTCAAATTACTGTACAGTTATCGGGGACCCCCCTCACCACCACCAGTGTGCGGCCCCCACCTGGAAGAAGCACCAGTACACTCCCCACACACCAGCTCTCAGTGGGGAGGAGAGCAGAGTGAAGAAACCAGTTCAGAGAGGGGGGTTATTAGGAGGCTGTGATTGGTAAAGGCCAGGAACACACCTTACAGCTCGTGTTCATCTGCTCAGAAAAAGAAACTTCGCCCGTGATCCCTGCTGCCTGGGCTGGAAATAAGGTCCTGCAGTCAGGAATAGGGATCACTGCTAAATCTGAAACTGCAGGGATATATACGTGGGGGAGGGAGACTGTCACTATATCAGCCTTTCCACTTTTTTTGCCGAATCGGTCCTCAATTCTAAAAATCACTTCATAAGTTCCCAGCGTTCATCACGGACTCAAACCTGAAGGACGTCTCAGCAATTAGCAAATCATGATCTAACCTCGCACAAAACCAGACATGTAACAAGAGCCTGTTTATATAAGGCTCCCTTTTAGAATTGCATCCCTGTCCAATAAGGCCAAACACTTGCCCTCGTCTTTCTCAGTGTAACAGTATCTTTCTCCATTAGTTCCACTAGGCTGGATGCGCAGAGCCCCTTGCAGGTACGCCCCTATGAAAGAAACGGCCACTTCGTCACAGTATTCACTCATCACACTCCCTGCAGAGTTTAAAAGACATTCAAGACATCTACAACATTAGGGCGTGAGCTCAACTTAAAGACCATATGGCCCCTTCCTGCCCAGAAAACAAAAAGCACTAAATCCTTACGGACCAGACCTTCTGTTAACCCTCGTGTATAGAGGCTTTCTGAAAAGGACTGACAGATGAATAAAAAAAACAGGATGTACTCAGCGACTTCATCAAAGACGTCATATATAATATTAGTGTCTAAAAGATGCCTGTGGGTGGTTACTTTTTCGCGGTATAAAACAAAATGCTGCAGCGAGGACATTGGAAGGGAGAAATAATCCCCTTTCAAAACTCATCACACCCAAAACTGTAGATAAAAAACTTGAAGATGGAGCAACCAGCTAGATGTGCAGTATCGATCTTGTGTAAAAATATGCCCGAAGTTACATTGGCTACTTCCCTTCCTGCAATACGACAGAAATATAAAACTAGACTAACCATGGCGACCTCAAAGCCAACTAGTCATTTAAGAAAAACCCTTCAGTAGCCCTTCGAGCACCAGGGGCTGGTCTTCATTTGTAGCAGAAATTGCTGGGGTGGAGGCTGTACACTCTCAGCTTCTGACATCTCAAAAGACGGAGACCATGTGTGGTGATTGGGTTTTCCCCAAAAAGGTGACTCACTCTTGGATATTTTGGTGAAGTTTGCTCACTGTACAGCCCCAATGCAAACTAAAAGCGATTCTCTGGTGAAACGCATTATTCTGAGAAGGCAGAACAATCTTAGGACTGCATTAGTAATCATTATGCGGCCATTTAAGCGTAACGTGCTAGTTAAGTTTAAACTACTCCACAATTGCAATACGACCAAAATTAAGCCAATTTGTGAGCTGTTTTGTTACTGCCTGGTGTAGCGCCGTCTTTAAAGTAGGACAGGGCGTGCTCTTATACATTCTGCGTATCGATAGCCCAGCCCGCAAAGCGTTAGTCTGTAGCTACCAGGAAAAAAAGCAAAGAAAATTATACGTGTATATAAAAGTTTGAATCTTTTCAGGACGGCTGCCCGCCCAGTGTGGGGACTCGTCAGTGCTTGGGGTATCATGACTGACTGCTGGATTCAGACTGGCTACGGCCGTCTGGGAGTTAGACACGGGTTTTTTTCGTCTGACTGTAGCAGCTCTCATCGCGACTTTGTCACCCCCAGTCTGATCTTTTTAACTCTAGTCCAAATATGGTATCATTAGCAAATATCCCCCAGTCGGCTCGGTTTGTACGGACACGAACCCGGGCAAGTTTTCTCCGCAGCTCCTGCTGCCTCCTTCAGCCCGGGGGGTTAGTGATGCGACCGAAGTGCGTATTTGAAAACGTTCACGGCTTTTCCGATTCAATTCGGCAATAAAAGCTGGAACAAAAACGAAAACACTTTACTGGGTCGCTGTGAGCCACAGCGCTCGTCCATTTTCCAAACGGATTGGCCCCTGAATCAAACCTTCTCCTTCCCAGACCGCCGCACTAAATCCATCCAAACAACAGAGCCCGGAGCCTCTGGAAGAACACACACACTCGAACAGACGTGTCTTTTAAAAGCGATCAGCAGTTTTTTACAAAAGAAAAGAACCATAAAACACACAAGAGAAGCGTGTGGTTTTGTAAAAAGAAAAAAAGGGGGGGGGGGTTGGGGATTTTTTCCGGCATGTAAACTTATTTCAAATCCGTTTTTAACACACAACAAAAGTCAAATGGGGGAGGGAAGAAAGTTGGACAGAGAACAACGAGACCATTCCCCTTCCAAACAAAATGTCTTTTAACACACTTAAATACGCGACCGTGAACACCTGCCATTTCATTCACCCGGACACCAACAAGAAGGGGGAAAAAACCCGACTCTGAACGTGTTCGAGGCGAGACAAACGCGCAGTTTTACAAACTTACCTAGTTTCATTACTCTTGTGTTGGAGGCTTCCCACTCGTTACAAAGCTGCGAGGAGCTAACAGAGGAGTTCCGTCCCGTTTCAACAGAGCGCACATCAAAAGGCGCCCAGCAACATCACCGCGGCGAGCAACAAAGTTTTCCCTGCTCCTTCTCTGAAACCATTATAGAAAGCACATCCCACAGAAGCAAACCGTGTGGCTCGGAAAAGGAGGCGGCTTAGTCGTTTATAAAGTTATCGACAAATACATCCCGTTCCCGACTTCGCGACAAAGACAACTTCCTCCAAACTTCTTTCTCTCCCCCACTTTTGCAACCGACTGGGAGTGTGTGTGTGAGGAAAAAAAACCCCACTGGCTAATTTTATAAAATACTTTTTTTTAATTCTTGTTGCCCGCCCATTGTCGCTCATTACCGCCCTCTGCTGGGTGGAGGAGAACTTTGCCGCCCTCAGCCTCCTAAACGCAATTAACAAGAACGTGTTGTTTTATGTTTAGTTAAGTTTTATTAACTATCCACGTGTTTCGTTGTTAGTTAACCTAACTGTGCTGTAATCTTAATCTTATTTTTGGAAAAAATGTACTAGTCTGGTAATCCATTTGAGTCAGAACTCAGTATTCCAAGTCTAAATCAAACCTGTGTCTGGTTTTCTTATAGGTATGTATGCCATGAATGTATAACATTTTTGACTGCTACTATTCCTATTCATTTTATTGCTTGCCAAGTATCATAAGAATGTTATATACGTTTCTTCTAAATGTGTGCCGTTCAGCTGATGTTCTAAAATATCTTCCACCCTGATCTTTCCAGGTCTCAGCTCGGCATGGACGGGCTGTTCAGTAGCGCCGCTGGTGGTCAAGAAGTCCGCCGGGTGAGACGTTACACAGCACTTATATGAAGGTAGGGCTTTCAGCTGCATTGTAATGATGACTCCAAGTGCGTACAATCTGCTCTTTTAATTAAACTCTTGCTTCTTGCATGAAGTGTTTGTAGGCACGCGTGCACAACAGAAAAAAATAACGCCCAAGACTGCTGTTTATGACATTTTATACCTTTGAAGTTAGGCTGCTGAGTTTAAATACACATGGCAAAATTAAAGATCATTCATTGGATATTTAGTTAGATATTTTGCCTCTTCGTTTGGGATATATGTTGCTGTATCCATGACATGTTTAACATATTATTCGCTGTTTGACACTTTAATATCAATAATTATAGCGACATTTCAATTACATGTTTCACACAGCCAATGTGAACGAGTCTGCGAGCAGAACAACAAGAAGCATTAAACTTCGCGCACCCAGACTGAAGAAAAGCAGCTTCACCTTTTAGGAATCGTTTCCGGTGTCGAACCCACTTATTGCGTCAGAGTAGCTGCGTCAGAGACAGGCGACTTCCGGTGCTGCTGTAATCATGGCGTCTTCTCGCCTAGAAATCAACTTTATTCGGCTTCTTTCTCGCTGTGAGTCTATAGCTGCCGAGAAGCGGGGGGATACGGAGTGGAGGTTAGAAAAGGTGAGGGGAATTTTTTTAAGCCTGCTTTTTTTAAAAAAAATAAGGTGCTTAGACGTAAACACGATAGCCACGTCATAACTTGAATACTGAAACCCCCCAAATGTTTCAGAACTGATTAAAATCATTTGTTTGATAGATACATGCGACTTGTGTGGAAATTACTCTGGACTGAGTAAACACTGTATTTTGTAGATCATTACTGTGCGTTTTGGGAATTGAATGACCTGTGTCCTGGAGATAGCTTTGATACGTGGCAGCAAGATGTAATGCATGCTTTCAAACCTGTAGCTGCGGGATGTCTCCCTTTTAAGCCCCTTTTCCGGCAGTGTTTTTGTAACCCGCAGTATTAACATGTTCTCTCATGCATTTGGGAATTTAACTTGCCCTGGTATCTATAAACGTTAGAGGGTTCATCTAACGGTAGATAAGACGTCAAAATTGGGTCCCAGGACTGCTCACCTGTTTCAGAGACTCCTGACTGAGGAGACGTACTGGGAAATGTGATGTGCAGATTTTGTCAGTCATTTCCCGGTTGATTCAGGCTGATTGATGGCGTTGGCTTTAACCTCATGCTTCAGTGTCTCTTAAGCCTCCCCGTTCTGGTCATGCAGAATGTGTCTTATCGCCTGAACGCTCTCAGTCTGTGCCTAAGCCATCCTCTCTGCCCTCGTTACAGTAAAAAAAAAAAGCGGGCTTTCGTAGACAAAGGAGTCTGGAAACGTGATTTCAAAGGTACATTCGGACCTGCAGTGTTCTGCTTCTTTTTCAGTATGTGGGAGCACTTGAAGAAATGCTGACTGCGCTGAAGAAGAGCACAAGGTAGAAACGACTTCTTAATCATTTTTGTGATTGTGCACTCTTCAGAGTGGCCGCTGATGGGGCGAGATCCTTCAGCTTCACTAGCTCATCTGGTTACTAACTGCTGAGCAACATGAGTGTCTTTTCAGGCTGGTTCTTGAAAGCATGACTTCGTAGCTTGTTCTAGGGTCTCACAACCCTTTGTGTAAAAATAAAGCTAGTTCTGCTGTCAGTTTCAGTGAATTGGCACGTAGTTTCTACTTCTCTTCTGGTTTGTGTTTCTTTGCTCATTACAAGTCTGTAAAGGTAGCGGTCTTGCATTTTTAGTCTCAGGTTTGTTGCAGCCCTTCTATGGATCCTATGTTCTGGGAAACTGCAATTATTTAGAAGTTCAGTGGAAAGAGCTTTTTTGTGCTCAGAAAAGCGTTTTAAGAGTCTTGAGTATGAAGCGACTGATCTGTTGTGAAGCAGCTTCTTGTTATCCCGCACGGAGTGTCAGCTTGTATGGATCGGGATGACCACAGCATTTAACCCACAAAAGACTGGAACACACAATATGACATTTTTAAGAAGATGACCAAGCTCATATTCCGGTTCATTTGGAAACAAGACATTTATCATTATTGTTATGCAAGAATATCATTGTTGGGGATTTAGGTTAATATTCTAATAATAGAATGTTGATCAGTTTGTAACAGTTCTTCTCGCTTTGTGTAGTAAACCTGTCCCAGAGGTAATGACAGACTACAGCCGAAAGGTGGATTTTCTCAAAGGATTATTAGAGGCTGAAAAACTGGTAAGAAAAGATCTCCTTAGGATGGTAACCCAATGGTTGGAGTTCTAACGAAAGGTTTCTTCGATATGTATACCAAATATTTGGTTGGTAATGTTAAAATAGGCATTGTTTTATATATGATGAATTATACCTTAAGTTGATCTTGATTAAATTGCTCTAAATAATGTGACCCTCTGTGTGGAACCCTACTGGACTTGTGAATTACACACCTCTGCATACCTTTGTTTCTGCAGACTTCTCCAACGGAGAAGGCCTTAGCCAATCAGTTCTTGGCCCCTGGTCGCAATCCCACCACTGCGAATGAGAGGACCTCAGCCAGTAAAACTGTTCACCTGCAGACAAAGGCTCGTTGCACTGGAGAAATGAGGACTGAGTTGCTTGGAACTGTAAGATACTATGAAAAGTGTTTTTGTTTTTAATGTGTAGCCACTCTGTCAGCTGGAGAGACTGATCACAACTGACCTGCAAGGTTGCACTATAGGGCCACCTGCTGGGCAGACATTTGAAAAGCCTCAGGAAAACCAGCTTGCATTAACTTAAATCTTACTGCTTGGATCGGTTTCTCGATTCTGGAGTCCCTCGTATTTGCTGGTATCTGTTCCAGCTGAACGTTTAATGATCAATTCTAACTGCTGCCAGTAATTGATCTGATCTGATCAGCTTTACTTTTGCATTTTGTTCTTTACTCAGGTAAATTATAAATTAATTTTCCTCTCTTGTTTTATGAATGTATTTTCTTACCAGCTTTTATCAGTTGGGTTCTATCACTACATGAAAGTTGCATTCAACCTTTACTTCATGGCTTTAAGTGTTTAAAATTGATCACAGCAGTAAATCCAGTAAAATCAAGGATGGGAATTAGATGGATTGTTTTGTTAGTGAGGTTCCCAAATCTTTACTCTTGTTCCTTTTGTTCCCCAGGTATCACCCAATGCAGGTAAATTTACTTTCTTTATTTACTACTAAAGTTGTCTTTTATACAGAATTCAAAAGCTCTGGTTGGGGAAAGTCTGACCATGCGGTTGCAAATACATTTCTAATCCACGTCTAGCAGGGACGCATTGGTATGTTTTATTTAATTGTATATTCAAGAATGTGGGCTTTGTTGCTGTTGTTTCAGCATTTGTACTTTAAATGAAATAGCTGCTGTCCTTCCTTTTCAGGTAGGACAGACGCAGAAATGAGGCAAAGAAGGTCAGTTTATTTTTATTTGTGTTTTATTGAATTGAAAGGATGGACGTTTCTGGGAATGTCTCTCTCCATGAAGTGCCCTGACGTTTTCCATATACACTCAATACTTAGAACTGAGGAAATATTCAAAGCAACAATTGCTCAGCCTTTTTATTTTTTGGAGAAAGTTAACTAAAAAAAATCCCCCAAAACAATGTGGAAGGTTTTAACAGTATACTGGAATGCTGTAGGCTGTCTGTGCGCTGTCACACTTGGGTGATGAAGTGAGGGAGTGAAAGGGTTCGAAGGCATGAGCAGTGGATTGCAGGACCGAACCCCTGCCCGCGCTGAAGCTGACCCGTGTGACCTCGGCGCTCTCCCAGGGGTCTGCCGCTGGACGAGAAGCAGTCGGACGCCGTGCTGGACGCCGTCCTCCAGCACCATCACAGCCTCCAGGAGAAGCTGGCCGAGGAGATGCTGAGCCTGGCACGCAACCTGAAGAACAACTCGCTGGCGACGCAGAACATCATCAAGCAGGACAACCAGGTGTGGCGGGCTTGCTCTGTGGGTGGAGCTGAGGGGGGGACCTGGATGGTTCACACTTGCAGTCAGTTGTTACCACGGCAGAAGTCTTCGTCCTCCTGGACTGTCAGTTTTAAAACTGACAGATGTGGCATCTACTGGGAAACCTCAATTAGGGCTTGGATTGACATCTGACCTCATTGTTCGATTCAAGGGCCATCACCTAAACAGACCTGCTGCAGCTGTTTGCATGCAGGTCTTTGGTTGAATTTTCAGCTGGTGGAGAAAAAGGCCAGTTACCACATTGCTCCAGAAGGTGGCAGTGTTTCACAACCAAGTCAGAAATGGTCTGTTAAGTTGGCTATGAAGAAGCCAAGTGAAGCCATAAGACAGAGGGGCTGTTATCCTGGAAAGCTAGAACATCTTTTAGGCATTTCCTCTGCTTCAGATAAAATCAGGAGCAAAATGAATGATCCAGCAAGGTCAAGGCGATTTTCGTAGCACTGTAGTGTTATCTTTTTAATGTGAAAAGTTGTGGTTGATGTTTGGTGTTCCTGCTTTTTACAGAGAAGCTGTGTTCAGTGATCAGGCCAGAGGAGTTAAAGGGGATGAGGTCTTAAAATTGGGGCATGTGGAGTATGGTTTGTGCTGCACCTTAATAAAATAAAGCTCCCCAGACAGTCCATCTTGGGAAGCCTTGCTTCTAGCTTGTCAAAAAAGAGGTTAATTGTATACTTTCAACTTCAGCATTTTATGATGATATAACTATATTGCTGCCTCATTGATGTATTACTAAATGGGAAATATCCTGCTTTTTTTTTTTTGTTCACAGTGTGTGTTGGTGTGTCCTGAGTATTTGTTAGTGTTGGTGCAGACCCAAGGTGAATTCAAGTATGAGTGAATTTCCAGATGGGTCTGTGAACTGGCCAGAAAGCAATACTGTTTGACACGGGGTGATCCAGCCCTGTTCCTGGAGGGAGGGGCCGTGTGCCCAGAGGGTTTCTAGGGCATTTTAAAGCAGCCGCACCTAAAGAGCTAAGCCCTGCTGTTGGTAAGTCGGTCCAGTTAAGTTCCTGATGAGCTGAGCTGGGCCGTGAATTCCACGGACATGCCGCAGTTGGGCCACCCTGGTTTGAGCCCCATAAACCCCCGAGAGGTTATCCGGCAGCAGTTAAAGGCAAGCACTGGGTCTGGTCTGGTAATCCCAGTGCCGCCCCGGGCTGGGAACGTGACCTCGCGGGGGACCCGGTGCCCTCTTGCCCCGGGCCGCGCCCGGCTGTGACGGCGGGTGGAAACGGACCGCCCGGGAGGAGCCAGCGGCTGGCGTCAGGCTGGTCCCATTTCGACCCGCAGGGCTGAATTGGAAACGCTCCACCACAACACGCGGCCGAGCACGGGAAAAACGGGGAAGCTGGGACCGAGGGCTAAAGGCGGCGTTCTAGCAGCGTCCAGAAAGAATCTACCTGCCTGCGTCTTTTGTCTAGTGAAAGGAAGAGGGGCGCAGAAAGAGTCCAGATCATTGTTGGGCTGTGTTGCGTTGCCACTTGTTTAAATGTGGGCCCCCCAGCTCTCTCCTCACAGGGCTCTCGTGCTGAGTAGTTGCGAAGTCTGGTGTCTTCTGGCTTTTCGTCCAGCCTCAGTAGTCAATTAAACTATTAACCTCGTTATTTTATATATTAGATGTCCGTAAGATTTTTCTTAAATTACACATGATGCTCATTACCTGTCACCTGTAATTAACTTTTTTTAAACCAGCTTAGAAGTGTTACACTTTTGCAGCTAATTAAATAATTAAACTTCCCCTGTAAGTGAGAGAGAAAACCAGATGACCCTGGGCCGTGCAGGAACTGAGTTTGATACCCCTGCCTAACGAGATGGTTGTAAAGACAGTTTGATTCCTAGTATCAAGTACCATATGTCAAACGTAATGTTGTGCCTATGAACAAGCTGTTTCCCTGTACTCTTATTTTTCCCCTAATTAAATGCAGTCTTTAAGAATTCAGTTACTGAAACCTGCATTACAGTTCTTAAGCGATTGATTTTACAAAATGCTTTAACAAAAGGAGAAAAGCATTCACAGTCATCGATCTGGCTTACAAAGGTTGTGATGTTAATATACAGAATGGCTGTGCAGTTAGTTAGAAAAATCTCTCTTTAACTGGCCATCTAATTAATTTGAAATGGACAGGGTATGGAGATAGACAACAGGTGCTGATAGCGGTTGTCTCACCTGATTTTACTGCCACGCTGTTCGTTGGGTGGTAATGCTGGAGGAATCTGCAAGACCATTTTCGTTCATCGATGACCTTCCCGAAGCCAGGCGGGCGGTGCTGACCAAGACGGTCTCCTTTCCTTTCTCTCTCCTCCTCCAGACGCTCACGCAGTCCATGAGAATGGCAGACCTGAATTTTGAGAAGCTGAAGACCGAGTCTGAGCGACTAGAGCAGCACACCAAGAAATCGGTCAACTGGTTCCTCTGGCTGATGCTGATTGTCGTCTGTTTCACTTTCATCAGCATGATTCTGTTCATAAGAATCTTCCCTAAACTTAGGTGATGACCCCTGTATCGAATGATCCTCTAGTACGGATTATCTAGAGAGGTATTTGGGTATGGAGAGGGATCCTGAACAGGTGCAGTGTGGCCTTAAGCCCGACTGGAACAAAAACAACAAAGAGCCTTAATCTTGATCCATTGCTGGTTAGTAAACAGCAAACGATGTTATTAATTTTCTTCACCCTGTTGTTTTCCAACAATACAGAAGCAGGAGCACCCAGAAATCCCGGGGTCAACCTCCAGCAAAGGCTGGGAAAAGTGGTAGGACAGGGGCGTGGCTGGTGGCAGACACCCCTCAGTCATGTGACCCTGACATCAGCCTGAATTGGGAGCTGGGAACTAGGCGGTGATGAAACTACCTGGCCTCATAGTCAGAATGTTTCGAACGAGGGTACTAGCATAAAGAGCGACATATAATAGAGTTTTTCAGAGGCTGAAAACCTGGTCAAATCTCTTATAGGACGTGCAAACTTTATTCGTGGATAAGCTTGCCCAGTTGTGGTGGTCTAACTGCTACACCATCTGTCAACCATTTAAAGCTGCTGAAGGTATTTTATATGGCTAATTCCACACTAATGCCTGACGGAGTAGTCCCAATAGTTTTAAATCATTACAGGAGCTGGTTTATCGGTCTCGTTTTTATTTTTATTATTTTATGTTGAATGCGTCCAAACAAATGTGAGATTGTTGCAGTGGTAAAAGGGGCTTAAAATGACAACTGACTGAAGAGACTGTTTTTAGACGCTAATTTCTTTGTTTCAAGGAAATGTCTTGCTTCTTTTGCAGGATTTCAGGGCATTTACATGTCGCACATCACATTACCTATCCCACCAAGGCACAGACCATCATGTTTATGAAGCAGAAACTGCAGCGCTTTATTACACAGAATATCAAAACCAAGCTTTTAAATATGGGGTGAGATTGAAAGCACTTATTCCCTTTTGCGTTCAGACACTTTGAGCTGCAAATGATTGAATTTACATTTGCTTTTTTGTATTCCTAACAGTTATGAATCGCTCCTGTTTTGATTACTCAACTTATCTATTAATAACAAAAAAGATCTAGCTGTGATTTACAGGTTTGTCCACTACGGAATTGTTCTCCCCCCTGTTTAGAGAGTATACAGCTCTCTTTTGTTTATTGCAGCATAATATATTGTAAATAATAGGACTTTATGTATGAAGAAGCATATTGTAATTTAAAAAGTGTTACATCATATTAAATGGTTAACATTCTTTCATGTTTTCTTTTCTCTGTCTGGCTCTACTTTATACACTTCAAAGCAATCACTTGATTTTTGAAGTCTGAAGATCTTTTTTTTTAATTGGACAGCTCTTTATTAACAGCTAGAGCATGGTTTTCTTTGTCAATGTCTCAGAAACCGTGTCCTTCTTTTTAAAATCCTGTTTACTCAAGTAGTCAAACATCTTTCTGGTTGTCAGATACTGTGAATTTCAAACGGAACTCTGTGAGTAATTTCAGTGTAATAGGATGTGGACAAGCATGAAATTGGGTCAGAATCAAGGTGATAAGACAGCTCTTAACATTATTCACCCAATTATGTTCATATCGCACCGTCAAGAAGATATGAAAGGTATTTCTCTCTATTTCGACCTCTCCTAACTGCAAGTCAGGGCTGACATCGCAGTCTTGATTTTCCAGTGAGCTGCCCTCATGGTATGTGATGGGTTGACATTGCTCTGCAATGTGTACAGGGAAAAAATTGAAATACATTTAGGTGTTAATGACCCTGATAGCATGTCTTCATCTGTTAGGAATGCCAGACACTGGTGTAATCAAAAGTCATTTCTAAAAAAAAAAGAATGGGGTGAGATTGCAGAATCTGCTTAGACCCTGTTTAAGTGCCATGTCCTGTTGAACTGGTATGTAGTTGGTATGTTGATTTTTAAGAAATATAGTAAAGGGACAAAAGAGCAGTTCAGTTCCTGATTTTGGTGGTTCATTAGGTCATCTGTCTCAGCCTACGAAACTGAAGCTGCCCCTGCAGCCGTGTCCACTCTTCCTGCATCAGGGCAGTGCTTTGCTCTAGCCACCTGCACCAGAGGAGCCATAGCCTTTCCCGAATGATAGACACGCCGGTCTGTGTGGCTTATCTACTCATCTGAAGGCTGGGAATGCAGACATTCCAGATCACAGCTGGCATCGGGTGGTTTGCAGAAAATGTACGCGGGAAAAGGCCGTGTTCAGACTTTTTGTTCACTTAACAAACTAAATTGTCACCAAAGAAGCCATTTGTTTTTAAACTCCACCTAGTTGGCAAGTATCTTTTTGTTTTTTGCTGCTCCTTTCTGCTTAATGGAGGGAGAGGTGGGGTTGTGAGCATAGTACATGATAGCCATTAGATAAAAAGCAAACAAGCTTGGACATTGATTCGGTCCTGTTGTGTCTGATTGTTATTCATTTTAGGTGTTGTGCTTTTAGAGCTGTAGAAGTGTTTATTTTGCATGCATGTTGCTTTGGAAATTCTAGGATGCTGGTGTGTTTTTCTATGCCAATCTCACTCTATTAATAGAGCCCATATGGGTTCCTCTCTCTTGCTAGCTACTTCTGAGTTCGCTAATTGGCCTAGCATGCCTCTTGCACACGGACATGCTAGTGGAAATAACCTCTGTCAGATCATCCACAGGGTCTTCCAGTAGCTCACTAATCGCCACACTAATCAACTGGCCAGGCTGTAAGAGAAGCGAAAATGCTAGATAGCCCAATGGGTTCAGCTGTAATGGCTGGGTTTCTGCTGTAATATTGCCAGTGTTTTTCTAGTACAGGTACATTACAGTCTTGTACAATATACCAGCCTTGTATATTTGCAAAAGTGTTTGACATAAACCACGTTACTTTTCTGTGGGCACAAACGTCACTGTCCAAGTTGTTCGTAGATGTAATGGCATCCATATTTTATCTTGCCATAAAAAATGTAGATAAGATAAGAAATGACCCGGGAGCAATTCACCATTGGTTCAAAGAACAAACAAGCAATGCCATTTTCATCATTTTGGGGGGTTAGAAAGCTTTAGCATGGATCAGTGCATTTCAAACCACACTAAAAGTAAAATGAACACATTAACTTGTAAAACCTCCAATTTACATCACAAACGAGACACAATTTCCCAGTACGCGCAGCGCCATGTTCTGCAATTCAGAATGAGGAAACAAAACATCCAGTGACGTGTTGCACCATTGTAAAGAAGCAGGCTTGTGAATAAATTTCTTTTAATTCAATAGACATATTGCCGGAAATGGAGCTTATTTGTTAACTCTGCCTGTAGATCACCTTGGAACCTTTCTGCGGTGAAATATCTGCTGCACTACCTGTATTTATTTTCTCGTCCATCACAGTGACTAGTGAGCAGGAAGGGCTGCTTTATGTCACAATTCGTGGGACCTCTCCCTCTCGCCTGTGGCGAGACCAGGGCTTGTGACAGCATAGCAACTTACAGTACTTTCACAAAGTTCATGATTTTGTGCTTAATTTGAAATTTGTCAAGTTTTCCTATTCAGGCAATGAATTTATTCTGTTGCTAAGGTTGAATCAGCGGTCTGAGATGTTGAGACTGCTGTTCCACTTGAATGCCACTCCCACACACACTGCATTTTCATCATTAATTCACTGTTGACATTTTTACGTAATTTGTGTGTTTTTTAACTTATTAGTTATTGTTAGTCCTGTTAAAGTACTTAAAATTAATTATAAATAAAATGCTTTAAAAATTCAATTAGAAATCCATGTCCTCAGGAAGCTGGGCATGGTCACATAGCTTCTACAAGCACAAGGACAGGGAGGTGCCCCACTACAAAAATAAAAAAAATAATAATTGCAGAGCAAGAAGCCAACAGGGGAGACTCACCTGGGAGAGGGATCTGCTCACGTCTCAAAAACCTCGCTTCAGCTGACTGAGTGTCAGAAACGCCCTGTTCCAGATCCATCACACCCACCCATCCTTAATAAACCTCCGCAGAGAGGAAGTCTGCAGATTTCCGGTCTAGTTGTTCAGAAGGAAAATGTCTGGGTAATATGAACAGCGGTCAAAGAGCTGTCTATTCCAGGTTTGTAGCTCAGTAACGGCAAAGAGGCTCAGATACTTGGTAACTTCAATATCAGACTTAGGAATCAAAGCATTATTAACAGTAGTAGAATACTTCCTGCACAGTGGTGATTGTTTATAATGTCATTGCTGTACTGATTTCCTCACTGTCCTTTCAGGTGGATATTCCTTTCATTGTTACCAGGAGGAAGCTGCAGTAAAAACAAAAAAGGACAATGAAAACAAAGCACCAAAGCAAAAGAAATGAATCTCTTACTGACTACCTATCACAGTGAGTCTAGAATGTGCCTTTGCTGGACCAGCACAGAACTGAATAGGCTTTGTTCACTGAAAGACTGAGAGTCGTGTCTCCTGGAATTTTCTGGAAAAAAAATGAACTTAACAAATTAACTCAGTTAAGAAATGTTCTATTTCAGGTATTTCGCAAAGCCAAACATACGCTCTTGCCCCTGTCCCTGCAACTGCTTTTCACCCAGTCGAGCCAGTGGCTAGTGTGAAGGACCTCGCACTGAGGCCTGAGCACAGGAGAGCCTGTGTGCTCAGTTCACATTGTACAGAAGGACGCCTTGATGAATTATTCCCACAGACGGCTTAGGTTCAGCCCAACAGAAGGTGCCTCACTGAATTTACTTTGCAAGAAATGTGTATAATGTTTCCCATGTGTTTTCATTGTAGGTTAAGTACAATTCCTTTCACTCAAATCAGTCTGGTCTCTTCTAATCAAAAAAACTGACAAACATCAGCTAAAAATGTGATTTGTTTGATTGGAGATAAAAACCGAAATGCTTGCCTCTGTTCCCACATGGCATTTAATCAACAGAAGCACAGGAGTGCTCACAGAGAGGAGGGTGTAGACACACCTGCACATGGTGTTCAGGTCTTAAGCCATTGTGTGGGTCTGTATTGTTACCTTCTCTGTTCTGTTGTCATGGCAAACTCAGACCAGGTGGCTCTGAGATCTTTATCTGTGCCTGGCAATAGGCAAAATCTGTGATCTTTCTTTTGTACCCATTTTCTTCCACAACAAGAGTTCGTGCTTTGATCTGATGGCAGATCAAAGTGCGCGTCGGGGGAGTTGTTTCTTTATTTTTTCAGACATACTATAATTTCTTTACTGTGTATCGCTCTTCTGAGCTTTCATTAGTAATCTCGAGACTGGCCCTTACTGTCTGCAGGATGGAAGAAGATCAAAGCTGTGTGGGGGAAACATTGGAGGCAGTATGCCAGCTCCTGGCCATACCTGAGCTTTTAGGGATATTGAACTAGCCCTTGACATCAAAGGTAAAGTGGGCCACATCAGAAATTAACTCAAAGCGGACAGCAGTCATCAGATCCATCCCCTTTACTCATCTGCAGTGCAGTGTCTTTAGAACGGTCACAATTCTCGTTCACAACAGGAGAGGAGGTGGGAAAGGTTGAAGCAGTGATCCAGCTGGCACAACAGCCCATGACCCAGTGGACCCGATATTTCCTGTGGACAAACCGCCCAGTCTTTAGTGGCACTATTAAGAGACGGCAAGACCTCATGTGTTTCTAGAGCAGTTTGAGGATCACATCACTAACTGCCACCTCTGTATCTATCTGATCAGCTCCGGCACAGCTTTTTCTTTGCCTTACAGGGATGGTGGAGTCGTGCCTAAATAAGAAAGACAAGTCTGAGTTTATTGCTATTGTTTCTTGGCTGTACAGGCGAGAGAACTCACAGACTCATCCATCAGCAAAGCTGCTGTTAACACTGCACAAAACCCCCCTGTCCTTCTCCAGCCTCTCTCTGCCTCGATCTGTGCAAAATGAGTGGCTCACGGCTTTTTGTTTTAACCTCCTTTGCCTTTACTGAGCGGAATTACAAGCCATTTGAAATCCGGGTAATGGGATTGCAAGGGGAACCCCCCGGGTCTCAAGCTGGACTCCAGAGCTCTGCCCCCAGGATGGCCCCAGCAGGCCCACAGCTTTTCCAGGAAGAAGCCGAGAGCAGTGGCACAGCTCGGGGCTTCGGAAAGCTCATTGTAGTAAATTTGTTTGCAGTTTAAGTCACGTCTGTTCCCCACATTACAGATTCAGCTTCCTACACTGTGTGATGCTATAGCATAGTAGACCATAATGCAGCAGCATGCTTCTCCCATGGTTTAACGGTGCTTTACGAAGTTTTGGTGATATGAGAGGTGGGCATC